CTCCCCGAAAAGAGACCTAGAACCCTGGAGCCCTGGACGCTAGAGTTTAGTTAGGGGTTTAGGGGTTTGAGGTTTAGGGATTCGGCTTTAGGGTTGAGGGGTTTAGGGGTCTAGGTTAAGGGTTCATCGGCATTTAGGTTCCGGGTGTAAGCGCAAGTTGAGCATGGTGCTCAATTCAAAGCATCTTTGACTGAAGTCGCCCATCTTGCTCCCTAGACCCCATACCCTGCCCTGAACTTGTACCTTCAGCCCTAAACCCTAAACCCTAAACCCTAAGCCCCTAAGCCCGAAACCCTGTACCAAAAACCCTAAACCCTAAACCTCAAACCCTAAACCCCAAACCCTAAACCCCAAACCCCAAGGCACCTTAAACCCTAAAACCATATACCCGCACTGCAACCCGACCCCCAGGGGTGGAGAATCCTTGGATCTAGGGCTTAACCGGGCTCGCGGGACAAGGACCTTGGCGAATTCATGACAACAATGACAACGCTTTCGGCCTTTATGGGTTTAGGGTTCAGGGTTTAGGGTCTTGGGTTTAGGGGGGTTTAGGGTTAGGGCTCATCAAACTCTAAAGACTCATAAGCCTTAAGCTTTAATGCCCCGCACCCTATAAGCCCCCAAGCCCAAACCCGAAAGCTGCTTTGGTCTCGTTGGCCTTCCACAGAGATTGTTGGTGGGAACTGATTGCAGCGGCATTGATGCACCGATTCACGGCCTTAAGGAGCTTGCTATCCCGCACCCGCATGTGTTTGGGAGTGAGGAGGTTGCTGGTCCTCGGTCTGTTGACGAGGCTAACACCAAGCCCTCGCAAACATTGTCCCAGAGTGTCTTGGATGAGATAACCATTACGTGATCGGTGTGCGCGGCACTCGCTCATTTATGGTGGCGTCCTGCAGCTGACTCACTCACGTGCTCATCCATGTTTCGCAGACGCATTTTAGAGCCGCAACACTACCTCGCCATGGCGGCGGGGGACAGAAAACAGCGAAAGGAGGAACGCTGGAACGAGTGGCGGCAGGCCGGATTGGATTGCAGACACATGATCAGGAAAGACATTTTTCCTCTGACAAAGTCAAGGCGCCGTTCGTTCACCTGTACATTGCGGGCTTCAGCTGCAAGCCGTTCAGCTTCCTGCACAACAAGTCCAAGCTACTTGAAGAGGACCAAGCCAAAGTATTCTATGCGGTCGTAGCCCGCATCCAACAGGTGCGGCCCGCGTGCTTCCTGCTGGAGAACGTGACGGGTATCAAGCGCGTCTCTGCAACGGTTCTCTTTATTCTGAGATCCACAGGGTATCATGTCGAAATGATTATGATGAACCCTGCCGAGCTACAGGAACCCGAAAGTGGTGAAACCCTAAACCCAAAATACCGAAGATAAGCTTTCAGAGGATCTAACAACATAGATGAAGAGCTGCAAGGGTTTTGGGTTTGGGGAATTATTGCAGATACGGTTCCATAGGGCTTTTATCATAAGTATGGTAAATCATGAACCAACAGCATTTCAAGTCAGAGGTTCAAAGATAGCTGTTAAAGTGGTTTTTCTGTGGTTTAGGATTAAGGGTTTTAGGGTTGGAGTGCTGGAAGGTCGTTACGATGATTTGCTTCTTCCTGTTCATTTTCTTTGCCTCTTGTCTGCAAAAAGTACAACTCAACACTTAAACGCATCAACTTACATGCCCCAAGCCCTGAACGCTACGAAGCCCGAACCCTATAGCGAGGCCTAAACAACAATTTTCACAAGGTCGTAGATGTGAGCCCTTGGAGACCCAAGCGTTACTGCTCCACAGAAGTTTTCGGGTTTTCAGTGCGATTGCCTTGGCAATCACAACATCAACGGCCACATGGAGCACGCACCACTGGCATCAGAGCAGGTACTGTAGATCGGAACGAAGTGTATGGAACTGAAGTTCTGTTTGTCCCTAAACCCCAAAACCCCTAAACCCTACCGACGCTGACCAAAGGCTCAGGAGAGCTAAACACCGGGTCAGACCGAGAGAGAGTCACAGAGTTGTCGGGCTGATGTCAAGCAGTAATGGGGTCGGAATTCCGGATCACAAGTAGTGTAATTATGATTGGGTTTAGGGTTTAGGGTTTAGGGTTATTATAAATATACCCCAAAAAACCCCATTGTAAGTATTCGGCCCCCAGAGTACCTCCAGGGCTGGAAACCAAAGCGAGGTGACCCGGTCCGCGTAGCTTCCAGCTGATAGTACCGCTTCCTGGACACGTGACATCCGAAAATCGCGTTCTGTCGACAAACCCTGAACCCTATAAACCCTGAACCGGTAACCCAAAACCCTAAACCCCCAAAATGTAGCCAATATGACTCAATGCACGGCAGCCAACTTGGCGCTGGTTCGAGTTCTGGTCTAACTTCTAAACTTCGAATTCAGACGTCAGGTGCGTGGACCGGTCTTCGTGTTTTGTGGTATAGGGTGTGGGCCTTTCGGGTTGAAAAGAGGTGTTGGGCTGAAGTTTAGGGCTCCCTTGAGCCCTCCAAATCCTAACATTCCCCAGCCCTAAAACTTGAGGCCCTTTAGGGTTTCGGGTTTAGGGTTTAGTTTTTAGGGTTTAGGGGTTTAGGGTTTAGGGTTTAGGGTTTAGGGTTTAAACCCCGAAACCCTGAAGCCTAGCCGTACGCATTAAATTAGCCTAGCACCCCTCAGCCATAGCCCCAGCCCTCATCCGATCGTCTGGTCGGAGGCGATGCAGGGGTGGTACAACGACACCTCTTTCCAGGTCTGCGGTGTTCAAAGGGCTCCACAGGTATGATGTACGGGTGGTTTAGGGTTTAGGGGTTTAGGGGTTTGGGGTTTAGGGTTTAGGGTTTAGGGTTTAGGGTTTAAGGGTTTAGGGTTTAGGGTTTAGGGGTACGCGTTTAGGATATGGGTTGAATTAGGGACCGTTTTTGGGGCCCGTGTCGATAGGGGTTCCATGCTATCTTGGGGACCCAAAAGAGAGCCTAATTTAGAGAACTACCCATTTAGGTTGTCGGTCTTTGCGGCGGGATTTGAGGAATCCCAAACAAGAGTTCCTATGTAACTGGAATGGATCCAGGCCCGTAATGGTTTGCGGCGGCCCCAGTTGGATTCCATTAAACAACCTACTATCGAGGTCTGAGGCCGTTTCTTTACTGGCCCCAATCTCCTAATCTGTGTTATGGGAGAGCGTTTTATCATGTTTATTAACCGGGGCCTAGTTGGCCGTAAAACTTAAACCCTATACCATAAATCATAGCCGGACTCCGTGAGGGTTTCGTGTCTCCTTTGCATCTCAGGGTGTTGATCCTGGTGTGTTGTTCGGGCTTTGTGTCAAAGCTTTGTGTTGGAGTTGGAAATGTGTTCATGATTCCAAAGGCTTTAGAAGCCAGACCTCTTGCAGGCGTGTGTGCAATCAGCACTGGTCGCCGGAAGCGGCAAGGCCGCTGGCAAAAAGCGAGGGTCAGGTTCAGCGTTGGGTTTAATTCAGAGGCTTAAATATCTCGCAAGATTTTTCATTTGGTTCCTTGGTTGGTATAAGTAGACCGTATCGTACCCCTAAACCCTGTTCTAGTGAGTAAAGCCCCCATATTAAGGTGTCATCTGTCCTTCGCGATCATTTCGGGGTTTAGGGATTCAGGGCAAGTCGGTGCTAGGTTGTCGTGTGTAGAGTGAGTTTAGGGTGTTCGGGTTTGGGGTTTAGGATGGTTTAGGCGATTATGCTTTCCGTAGAGGCTTTGGGACAGAAAATATGGAGCACAGGAAGTGAGAGGCTGCGTAGTCGGACCTCCATTTATGAACCGCGATTTGGCGATCATACAAGGATCTCTCACACGATGTCTCTCTATCAAGGTCCGTGTTGTCAAGCCTGCGAAATTTCAAAAAGCATTTGTTTCTCTGAGCTGTTTGCAATGCTGTACCAACTGGCCATGACGGTGTGCTTTCGGGTTCAAGATGTAGGCCGCCTCTGTGCTTGTGATGCTCCTGAATCCGTAACAGAAAAGCCGGCACTGGACCGCCAACCATGTGTGTGTTAAACCATAAGCCGCCGCAATCGGATACTCATGCAGTATACATCGCTTGTATCGTTTATGCACTTGTTAGTCACTTGTTTCAAGATATTCTGGCTCTTATTCAGAGACGAGCCCGTGCAAGCTTCGTCCAGCACACCCCCACGGCAGCACCTCTTACAGTGAATGACATTCCTACGCACTCTTATGTGTATATATATATATATGTATGCATGTATAGGAAAGTAACAAATGTTCTAAACCCTAAACACCATACATTTCAGAGACACACCAAACGAGCGTTTGTGTCGAGATCCCGAGCCTGCTTCATTGCGGACGGCGAAATTCATGTAAACGAAACCTTCGATTCATAGGCACACTGCCGAACCCTAAACCTCAGGTCCTAAGCCGCTAACCCTGAAACCTTAAGCCCCAAACTGTAAGCCTTACTTAGGGTTTAGGGTTTAGGCGTAAATATGCAATCCTACATGAACACCGGCACACGCTGCTCAGGTGGCGACCATTGTGCGGCAACGTGCTCCAGACGAAGACGATGCCAATCTAGGGAACTTGGCAACCTCGCTGGAAGGAGGCGATCCGCTGAAATCCGACATGGCTTACTGACCCCTAAACCGCCTTTAAAGGGATCTACAAGGGGTCCTTTAAAGGGGGATCTATAAGGGGTTCAGGGACGCTTTGATTTAGGGTTGGGGGTGTAGCTAAGCGCTTAACCCGAAGTTCCTGCAACTGTCGAGGTAGAGTCGAGTCTATACCGGATTTGGGGTCCGGAGGTTTATAGGGTTTAGGGTTAGAGTTTGGGGTTTAGGATTCAGGGTGTAGGATGGAGGCATTTCTGCTTGGGAGTGTGGACTCCGATGTAGAGTAGCTGAGAATGATGCCTGCCCTGAAGTCTCAACTTCCTAGCTGTTTGCCAAGCCCCCCCCACCCCGAAGCCCTCAACCCCTTAAGCCCTAAACTTTCCAAACTCGACCCCTGTCTAAACTCGACCCCCCAAAAACCCTTGCACATTTCCGCACTAAACCCAGAACCCAATCCCTGGCCAGGCGACGCTGGAGATGCCGGAGAAGGTGACGGCGACGGCGGCGGCGAAGGGGGCGAAGGGGGCGAGGGAGGTGCGCCGGGCGGCGGGGTGATAGTCTTGTTGGGGGTTCCCCGATGAGTTATTATAAGTTGATACAGTCCTCCCTAAGCCGAGACCCCCAAACCCTAAACCCTGAACAGTCTTGCAGCCCAAAGCCCGAAACTTTAGATCCGGAAGTCCTACGCACGTCGGATGTCCTAAACCCAACTCATGCCGATGAGAGTCTGTGTAGCAGCAGGATGTCCGGGCATTGTAGCGAGGTCTAAGACTTCTAGGGTTAAGGGTTTAGAAAGTTTAGGGTTTAGGGTTTAGGGTTTTGAAAGTAAGTTTAGGGTGTAAGACTCGTAACTGTGATATGTTTAGGTTCATCCGAGGCTTTCGATTTTTTACACCGGATTTGCGCAGGGCCAGATTTCAAGCATCGCGGCTTCCCGTTAAGGGGTTAGAGAGCTTGTAACTGATCTGTACTGGGTTCTATATAACCTGGATGATATGGGGGCGTAGATAATTACCTATACCATTTTGGTGCTTTCTTATCATAGTTATTGTGGAATGTACCCCAAAACCCTATTCTAATTTTCAAGGCCCCTATATAAGGGAGAATTCTCTTTTCGGGGGTGTTCGTAGCTGCTGTTTCTTAGTTTCGGCCTTCTGGTCGTTTCCCACAGCAACGGTGCTTGCTCCGAACAAGAAGCAGAGCTAGACACCCCACTCGCAAAATCTTGGGAAGCTTATAAGCAACCACATATTCCCGTCTGCTTCTGAGCCTGGGCGCCCCAACAAACAGTCAGCAGCGCTTAAACCAGCTAAGCAACCCTAAACCCTAAACAGACACGAACTAGACGCCTGGAGCCCGAAAGCCCCGATGCAGGTGAGGGAGGAGGGGAAGGAGGCGGCTAAGACAGCTGCTGCTTCGCTCTTTAGACATGCTTGGGCAATCAGTTGAGACCCTAAACCCATAAACCTGAAGCCCTGCAACCTAACCCGCCGAAACTCTGCATTTTTCTTACTTAGCCAATGCATCCGAAGCCCGATTCTAACTATTAAGGCCCTTGTACTAAACCGTTCTGGTAACCCTTCAAGACCCCTTTGAAAAGAAGCTCGTTCCGATGTTTGAAGGCCCCCCCATATTTCAGCTTCCCGTGGCGGTTGTACTGTACCTTGCCGGGCTTCGCAGCTACAAGACGTCCCTTGGTTGTTGAGAAGCAAGACAGAGAATTCACCCTATACCCTACACCCTAAACTTTAAAGCCTAAACCCTAAATCCTAAACCCTAAATCCTAAACCCTGAACTCTAAATACCCTAAACCCTAAACCCTATAAGACTCTAAACCCGACTAAACCCTAACGAGGCAGGTCGCAAGAAGACGGAAAGGACCGACACACCATAGAAGTTAAAGAAAACAGACGCAAACTAATACTATTTGGGCCGGAGTAGTTACCAATCGTATCCCTGCATAGTCCCGATTACTTTAGCAACCAACCCTACTCTAATTATTAAGGCCTCAACAAGAACCCTGTCAGTAACCCTACCCTAGTTATTGAGGCCCTCATAATAAGGACCATCCATGATCGCCCATGTTTGAAGCTGCTCTGGAGAATTTGGTCTTTTTTTCGCATGGATATTCCCATCCCGGCTATACTTGGTCCCTCTGAGAGTTTGAGGCGTCGTATTTTGTGTGCTTGCTGTTTTGGGCGTCTACCTGTAGTCTCCATTGTAGTTCCTTTTTTTGGTTTAACCAATTCTATATTAAGGATTTTATAAGGTAACCCCAAAAAGGAATTACAATGGAGACTACAGGTACTTTGTGTTGGCAGGAAATGCACGTAAAACACGAATCTACCCTGCTGTTCAGAGCGGACTCGGGATTAACAATGGTGTGAGGTGTAGGGTTCAGGGTTCAGGTTAGTGTTGAGGGTTTGCCTTTGGGCCCTAAACCCTAAGCCCCAAACCCTAAACTCTAAACCATAACCGTAACCCTCAACCCCGAGGTCTATGGTTCACCGCTAGGGTTCCTTATGCACAGAGATGGGAACCACGACCCTGATTCCTTAAACCGTAACGCAGAAGCTCAAAACAGCGTAAACAGAATTCCCCGCGGCTGGGTATCATTCATTGCGGCACACCCCTTTTTCAATTTTGCCTGCAGGCAGGCACCGCCGGAATTGCGTATTGTAGGTTCAGGGCTGTACGAAGGACGTTGTATTCGTAGAAAGCATCCTCGTTGACAGCAGATACTTCTGTTGTGGTAGAAAGCAGCGTCTTTACGATTAGGGCCTAGGGTTTAGGGCTTCGGGTTTCCTAAGCCCCAAGACTGGTTCTAGCCTGAAGCCCTAAGCCCCAAACCCTAAACCCACATTGATTGTGGACTAAAGGTGGTGCAGGGCCAGGAGCTAGGAGAGTTAGGATGCAGGGCTACATTGCATTGTGTTATCTTGTGCTCTGATGTACCATGGTATGGTATGTTATATCAATGTTACATGATCAGCGGAACGGCTCGGTGGTTTGGGCTGCAGAGCATCGAACTGCATGATCAGCGTTGAAAGCCGGAAACCGGCATGCACTAACGAATCGTGGTCTAAACCCGACAGAGTTCAGGGCTTGTTGGTTTAGGGTTTAAGGTGTTTAGGGTGTAGGGGTGTAGTAGGGGTGTAGGGAGTCGAAAGATCTGTGGAACTCCAAACCCCGAACCCCAAGTTCAACGGGTTCAGACCACTGCATTACATTCACTACCATTGCTTTCTCACCAAGTGCTAAGAAGAAACCGAATGCAGAGTGATGGCGTCGAGACGAGGCTGTGCGAAAAGGCAGCAGCATGTGCAGGGGGGGTGCGTCTTGCGGCTCAGGGTTCAAAAGCACAGCTACAAGTCTCAGACCTCAAAGTAGGCAAAGGGACCATGTGCCGTAATGCATTCATTGGGGACGAGCCTGCTCGAAAGGTGCCGCTTGCGACTCACCTTTGTCTTTCGATTTGTGTCTCGGCACGACGCTGCACTCCTGACCCAGACCCCCAGCCAAACTATAGGAGTCTTCTAAAGGCCCTAAAACCAAAACACACAATCGTGGCCGCACCCCTCAAGATACCCTTTATTTCTATAGAATATGAATACTGAATCGAATATATCAGAAAGAAATTATTTTATCAATATTTTGGAATCTAATTATTGGTCTTCTTACATTCGAATAAAATTGAATAATTCGTATAATACTTAATAATTATGAAATATATATATATAATGCCCGATAGAATTTCATAGAAATATTGAAAATTTTCAAAAAAATAGCATTCGTATTCATCTATATAAAATGTTGTATAGGCTTAAAATTTTTATGATATATGATCTTGATTGGAAATCTCTTTTTAATATAATTTGAGAAGATCTTAGGTTCTTTGAGGATTCTTGAAAATTATGGATTCGAAGATAATTATCTCATAATTATCATAATTTGAATGATTTAAATCTAAAAAATATTGATAATGATAGGTTAAAATTCTTTTTTCTATATTATATTATATTGATATATTTTTTTCTGCGAAATCTATTTGATTTCTTTCATAGATTTGCTCGAGAAATAATATCTTCTTATTTTCGAAGAAAATTTATTATAATATCGATCGAAAAATATTTGATGATTAAATCTAAATTAATCGATTTTCATTTCTGAATAGATTATATAATTCGGATTTATCGATTCATCGATTTCATCGAAAGGCTTCTCTAGATATATGATAATTAAAATTTTTATAGATGAATATTTCTTTCTTATAATATTTTTTAATTTTCTATATATAATTTTCTTACGATATCTTTATATAAATATCTTCGCACCAACCCTTAGCCGCTATTCTATGAAGAATAAACCATCTTCTACGATCTTCTAGATATATATATAGATGGCGACTATAGATAATATCACGCTATTTTATATTTTTTTTATCTTTTTAGATTCAAATCTATAGGAATATGAAAAATAAATTTTCTTCTACGATCTTCTATACATATATATATGGCGATTATAGATAATATCACGCTAGTCTATGCTCTTTTTTATCTTTTCAGATTCAAATTTATAGGAATTAGGGGAAGGATTTAAATCGGGAGGATCTGAGGGAATAGATTTCATTCTTTATTATAATTTTCGGTCTTTGCTTGAAGATCTTAGATTAGAAAATTAAGATCAACGACTAATTCGATAAAATTTTCGAGGTTATTATAAGATTTGCTTTGAATGATTTAAGGATATTCTATATAAGTAGAAAATCGATAATTTATAAGATTGTCCGGGTGGGAGATTATATTGAGCCTATCTCTTAATTTTGATTTAAAATTCTCGGGAGAGAATCAAATTATATCTCTCCAAGAATTACGGCTCATATATATATATATAATCAAGATATTTATTATAAAGAAAGATTATGAAGGAACGATAATTGCGAAGAATATCTCTTTATTTAATATATTTTATTCTTTTATAAAAATCTAGCTATTTTCATAATTTCGTCACCCCCCGCCGCCTCCCGTTCTATAATATTAATATAATATTCTTTTCGATTTATCTTTATTTCTTATTCTATATTATTCTCCATAGTATATCTATATATATATATATCTCCACGAATATCTTAAGATATTTATCTTATAATTCGAATCATCTTCGTCTATTCTGATATTATTTGCACATCCTCTCCTGCCCCTAAATGATAATTTCTTATACTAATCATATCCTTATTATTATATTTTTCTATATCTCCGCATCCTATGATATTCCTCAGAATTCATATAGGCATATAAATTTTCGCCACATCTCTATTATATATAAATGGCCTCGCTATGCCACGATATTACTCCTCGTCTTCTCCACGATATTCTTTATAAATATATGTCCTCGCTCCCCCCACCGCCCTCGACCACCACTCCACGACACTCTCACGACACACAACAAGCCCTCACCCATCATTCCATGCCACTCACCCCCCTCAAGCTCGCACGATATTCCCATGCAATATATATCCTCGCCCCAATATGAAG